TTAAAGAGGGTCAAGGGTGGCGAAGTGCAGCCTATGGGAAGGGCGAGGAAACAAGGCCCGAGTGCCAGGCCCAGGCTCTTCCTTCCTCTCTTTAGCATCTTCCTCATTCCCAGACACCTGCTGCCTAGCAAAACAGTTTAGCAACCACCTTTGAGAGCAGCCTACTGCTGCCTGTCCCTCTCTGCCCCATCAAACTATTTCTTCCAATCTTATTCATCTCTCTCCCTATGAAAAAGTCTCCTGAATATATTCTTCTTTGTTATTACATTTCTAACCAAACTATAGTGTTCTGCTCTGCTAAACACACTGCAGTTAGTAAGAAATCCCCTGGGTGATTTTGTCTGGGAGAAACCTATCTAGTCTTGTGCAGGTACCAAAATAGCTCAGTCCTGTTCTGCCCTGCCCCCCCCCCCCCTTCCTTTCACGGCTATCAGCGTGTCAATCATGAACAATGACCCTATAACCTTTCTTTTTCTCAATGGGTAGGATTAATTAGTTCTTTTTTTCTTTTTTCTTTTTTTTTTTTTTTTTTCCCAGAGAGGTGCTGGGGATTGAACCCAGGGCCTCATGCATGCTAGGCAAGCACTGTACCACGGAGCTATACCCCACCCCATTGGTGGGTTTCAAAAATACATTCTAGGGCCACAGGTTCTGTGGAGGAAAACCTAGCCCTGATCTAAACTGCTTGAGTTTCCAGCAGTTTCCCCAATTTGGCAAATAAATGCGCAGAGTATGGGCTGTCTTGCCAAGGGACAGAGAGGGGGAAGCAGGAGAGCTAGTCCTGTCAGGCCCATTTCAAACTCTAGCCCTTGTGCCTTTCCGTCATTTTGATTTCCCCTGCCTGGGCTGACAGTCTTGGCTGGTAGAGGGGTGAGCTGCTGTTTCCTCCCGGGGAGGCGGCCAACGTCCTGCTCCTCCACTGAGAGCCTCTGTGGTCCCCTTTCTTCCCCCTGCAGCTTCGTCCTTGCCTGGCCCTTGGCTGCTTCCTTTTGCATTGGGACTCACAGTGTGCCTGCTGTCCCTCTGTCCTTCCCTCTGTAGCTCCCGGGCAGGGAGATGGCCTCATTCCAAGCTTGTGTTTAGCCTACTGGAGAAGGAAAGGCCTGGGGTTGCCAACAGAGCTTATTATCAGCATCATTCACTTGGCAAGAAAAGTCAGGAGCCCAGAGCAAGGCCAGGAGGGAAATGGCCACCTTCTGCCTGAGCAGTGGGGAGGGTGTCTTTGTGAAGAGGTCGAAAGGGGCCACCACCTGGGACTTTTCCCATCTGTTTCCACTGCTGAGTGGGAGAAGGGACAGGGCGGTGCTAACACAGCTGAGGACCTAAGAGAGAGAAGCTTGGAATTGAAAAGACATTTTGTATGATATGAACCTGGGACTGGCTGCATGATTTATAGGTTCCAGTCAAAATGAAAATGCAGGGCCCCTTATTTAAATAGCAGGACAAAAGGACAATTAAAATATAAAGTTTTTTTTTTTTTTCTTTCATGGTCTCTTTCTTTTCTTTTTTTTTTTTCCGGTACTGGGGTTTGAACCCTAGTGTGCGCAACCATTGAGCCACATCCATAGCCCTTTCTATTTTTTTTTTATTTTGAGTCAGGGTCTCACTCAATTGCCCAGGCTGGCCTCCACCTTATGATCCTCCTGCCTCCACCTCCCAAGTTGCTTGGATTATAGGGAGGCCTCCCAAGTTGCTTGGATTATAGGTGTGCACCACCATACACTGCTTTATGTTCAGGCTCTTGTTATGGTGATTTTATTTGCTATTTAAACCTGCGCTCTCTTGGGCTTGGAGATACTTAGGTAGACCCTTGTGGACACCCGTGGGCTTGCTCCATCAGCTGCTGGGTTACCTTTCTCACCAACTACTGGGATTTTCTGGTGGCAGATAGTTGAAGAGATGTTAACCCCCAAAGCATTAGAACCTCGGGGTCACCCTGTAGACCTGGATCAGAGTGCCCAAGAGGCTTGTCTTTTCCCTCCAGCTGGTGTCACCCCCATGGGCCACATGCCACTCAGGAGGGGCTGGTGCTTTGGGAGGCAGGGGAATGGGCAGCAGAGAACCTATCCCAGGGATCCAGAATGGGATGAGAGCCAGCAGGAGCTCCCACAAGTCTCCATGGTGTGGCTTCAGTCAACAAAACACAAGTTAAAGATGAAACTGTTGACAATGTCAAGATGGCGACCTCAGAGCATCAAGACCCAAGTTTGGCCCTTGTGAGAACCCAGTCCTGTGGGACTGCACTCACGGCTCCTGGGAAGCCAGCCTTGTCCCTCGGGATGACCATCCAAACCTCACAAACAGAGGTAGTGACAAGGTTGGAGAAGATTCCCCGCCCCAGGACACTTTGCTGATTCTGACAAGGTGGGTGGTGCCCTCCTGGTCCCTAATTGTGTTGCTTTCTGAGTCGTGACTTTCTGCAGTGATAGCACCCATTCCTTCCCCTCTTGCCCTCTTGCTTGTTTTTCTGAAAGCCCTCCATTGTCTCCTTGCAGGTAGTAGGAGATTCCAGGACAGAGGTGGCCCCACTTCCCAGAATGGCTTTGGCAACTTTCTGCATTCCGGAGGGTGAGGAGGGTGAGGAGGGTGAGGAGACAGGCTGGGCAGGAGGAGGCTGCTGATGGAGAAAAGGAGGCTACAAAGGGGAGAGGGTCAGAGTTCGGAACGTGCAGCCCAGAACGAGAAGTGTCAGCGAGGGAGCTCTGGATTCCTGGAGGCTGGGAGCACTGAGCACAGCGTGGCTGCCTCTGATCCCCAAGGGAGGAGGGGACAGCACTTCATGAAGTCACTTGACTCTGGTTGGACTCTCCGTTAGGCCTGGCAGGGGCTGGGCGCTGGCTGGAAAAATCATGTATATTTATGGTATGCAGAGTATTCTTTTGCTCTTTTTTGATAGAATAGAGCTTCATAATAACTAGAAGGCAGATCAGCAAGGCAGAAATAACTCCACTTTTTTTAAGGTTGGTTAACTATATCTGTAAATCCATATTCAAAAAAGAAAAAGAAAAATCATAGGTCTTCATATAGGACTTCATTTATGGGCACTAAAGAGGAACATGACTCCTTTTGGGGATTCTGAGCCCCAGAGGCAGAGGTCGAAAGTCTTGGCCTGTAGTCCTTCTGTGCTGTTCTGTCATCGAGGATCTTTTACAGATCTCCAGTCTCTAGTCTGCTTATCTATGGATTTGCTGGATTGTTCAGGCATTATTACACCCACTCTGCAGATGAGGATATTGAGGTCCAGAGCAGTGGATAAGTTGCAAAAACTTCTGGCCTCAGCCAGGCAAGTCAGCATCTACTGAGCGTGAGTAGGTTTTGTGGCCATACTTCCTAACCTCGGTTTTGCAGTGCCTGGTTCCTCTGGGCATGTCTGCGTGGCCACATGTGCTTGTCCAGAAGATGCTGACACGCTGGAATATCTAGGGTGTTCTAATGGCTGCTAGGGCACCATATTTAGAATCAGGACTATTGTGGACACTCTGGAGGAATAGCTGCCTCTTTGTCCCAGCAGATAGAAGGCTCCAGAATGTTCTAAGATGGCTCTCTCTCACAGCCCAGGTGGATGGGAGTGGAACAGCAGCCCCGGGGAAGCCTGAGAGGACAATGTTGTATATTGTGTGTACTGTGCTGTCCTTCAGATGCTGGTGACAGCAAAGAAGCAGCATTGTGGAGTGAAATAGGGCGGGGGGGGGGGGGGCGGGAGCTGATGGAGAGTCCCTGAGTGCATCTGCTCAGCATCACCCGGCCACACACCAATGGTTTGTGACCTCTTGGGAGACTGCATGATGCCCCAGGGGGCAAAGTGTCTGAGTTAGCAGTTCCTCTCAGGAGTAGAGACTGATTTAGCTCAGAGGGATCCCAAGGCACTTGGGGAAGGGACAGGAGGAAAGAAGCCAGCCACCCACAGAGAGTCCAGCTGAGATAGGCAGTGCTGGTGGAAGTTCAGCATTAGAACCTCAGGCTGCAGGCAGACATGATGGATGAGTGCCATGCTCTGCAGAAGTCACCCTGGAGGGCAGGAAAGCCGGGGCCATCAAGCAAGAGCCGGACCTCTGCATCCTGCCTTGTCCAATAAGATAACCACTAGTCATATGTTGCTATTTAAAGTCATGAAAATTGAATAAAATAAAAAATTCTATTCCTCAGTCTCATTAGCCACATGTCCAGTGCTCTCCCACCACAAATGGCTAGTGGCTGGCTGATTGGATGATACAGATACATTTCCATTGCTCTAGAAGGTTCTATTTGAATCCAAACCATCTCATTAATATTTTTTTTTCTATTGATTACATATTGAAATAACATTGTGGATATACTAAGTTAAATCAGATATGATATTAATATTAACTTCACCTGTTTCTTTTTCCTTTCTTTTACTGTAGGTAATGGAAACATAAATTATTGACGTGGCTCATATTTCTGTTGGACAGTGCTATTGCAGAGCAAAATGGGGCAGGGGCAGGAGGCTGATGGAGAGTTCCCGTGGGCATCTGCTCAGCATCACCCGGCCACACATCAGTGGTGACATGTCTATTTATTCATAGTTTTTAATACTCATTCATTCAGTGTATTCAGTCAGATGAAGACCGTAAAAACCCTTTCTCAATAGCGGCAGCTCAGGGTAATGGGACAAAGGCAACTTTGGAGCTGGGGAACTTCAGCTTCAAATCTCAGCTCCATCTCCCTATTAGCTTATGACCAAATTACATGCCTTAGTTTTTCCATCTGAAAAATGCAATCAATGGGGATTCGACACACAGCATGGCTTTGAATGTTCCAGAAAGAAGTGCATGAGCTGGAACTAGCAGGTCCTGCCCATTTAAGACTCAGTAAATGGGGGCCCAATGTCCTCATCATTAGGCCATTAGCATTTTTAATATGAAAGTATGGATGGTGTGGCCAGTTTTTCTGGCCTCAGAGCACCCACGACCCTTCCCCTTGCCCTCAGCATCCCCTCTGAGAGCTGTCTGCCGAGCCCTTGGGCATGGCCTGGTACTCACCTGCTGGCAGCTGCTGGCCCAGGAGGCCCGGAGGGCGCCCCAACCCCCAGAACGCTTGGCCTTGCTCTCCAGGTGCATCCGCAACTGCGTCTCCAGCTCCTGGCTGACTTGCTCGAGGGCGTGCACCTTGGCCATGTACTCCACCAGGCAGCCCCCTAGGTCCTCCACAGAAGCATGGTCCCTCTCCAGGCCCGGAGCAGGCACCGCCGCCAGGCCTGAGCTCCGCAGGCCCTGCAGGAACACACTGCTGATGCCCAGGGCCCGGCGGGTCACACGGGCACCCAGGCCACCTATGCCCCCGCTGGGCGTTGTCCCTACATAGACCCCAGGGGTGCGGATGAGGCTGCCCATGACATTGGTCCTGGAGGCTGGGGGGCTGTCCAGGGAGGACGATGATCGTGTCCCCCTGAAAGATGTCCTGCGCCTCTGGAGGGGCATGCTGGAGCTGGTGCCGGCGGGCGAGTCCACCACCACCCTCCTCTCACTCATCACTCCTCTGCCTCTGCGGTGCCCAGCAGGGTTAGGTTAGAGTCCAGTGGCTTTTGGGTTCCAGCCCCAGCAGCCCTGTGGCCTGGTCATGGGCCTCTCTGGAAGCTCCCCTACCCCGGGGGCTCTTTGTCTGCTGCCTTCCATGAGCTTCCACCATTCACTGAGCTGAAAGAGAAATGGGCCCTGCCCAGGGCTGCGTGCAGAAAGGCGCTCATGCGTTCTCTGATGCGGGGTCAGGTGCCCAACCTCCCAGAGTTTTCTGCTGGTGGTGGGGGAGGCTGGGTCAGTGCAGGCTGTGGGGGCGGCTCGTCGGGGTTTGTTGATTTCACAACGGGAGAGAGGGCAAAGTAGGCCCCCAGCCGCCCCATTTCACAGGTTATAAACTGATGCCCCAGGGACCTCTGATCACAAGTGTAAGGATCACTTTTCCCTAGACTTCAGCTGCAAGCCAGGACTCTACATAGGTGTTTCAGAGCCAATTCTGATGCTTTCCACCTTCCTACATGTGCTGGTGTGGGGGAAGATGCGCAAATACCTGACAGGTGATTGAAGTGGAGAATGGACCGGAACCAGCCCCACAGGAGGCAGCCTGAGGAAACCCAGCCTGCTGCTTCTTCCCTGCTTCTCAGCTCCAGAGCAGCAGTTTCAGGTCCCTCCCTGATTCAGGTCCCTCTCCTCATTCTCATCTCTGCCCTCCCAGAGTCTGCACTTGACCTGCTGCTTGGACTTCACTTCCTCAGACTCGCTGATTTTTTAAAAAAATATTTTTTAGTTGTCAATGGATCTTTATTTATTTTTATGTGGTGCTGAGAATCCAACCCAGTGCCTCACACATTCTAGGCAAGCGTTCTACCACTGAGTCACAACCCCAGCCTCTCTGATGGGCTCTTGAGCAAGTTTAGATCCCATGTACTGGACACCTGCTTGCTCCGTCTGTCCCCCACGCTGCCATTTCCCCATTTATCTGAAAACTCACAAATAAAAACAACAAAGAGAGTGATTTCTGGTAAGGTCTCCAAGGGAGCTCCAGGTTAGGATTTGGTGGGATCCTCTGGGTTCTAGTTCCTACCCTGGGTGGTCACTAAGTCATGCTGTCAAGGGTGACACCCCAGTCCCTTCCAGAGGATCAGAAAGGTTCCTCCAGCCCCAGGGATGACAAAATGGACTTACAAATCACTGCACTGAAGTTTTGCCCTGGAAAAACCAGATGGCCCAAATGTAGAGCTGGATATTTATGAAATGTGGAAATGTACCTCAGGTGAGACAAGAGAAAGGAAGTCAAATTCCATTCTAGTGCCATACCTGATTCCATCTTTGTTTCACTGAAATCTTAATTCTACCTTAGAAGATGAGTTGACATGTATGGCTGTTCGGGCTGTGTCCTGCACAAATCATGATCACATGTCTACAGTTGGTTATTGTCCCCCTATGTGATAAGGACCCTGAGAATTGAAGTGACTCACCTAAGGTCCTTTGTTCAGAAAGTAGCAGAGCTAAGCTGAGAAGGCTTCTTCTGACTCCTATTCCAGGAACTTATTTAGGATCCTCTCTGGTGCCCACCACCCAGAAAGCAGAGCACCTATCTGAGGTCACACAGGCAAAGTTAAAAAAATCTTGTTGCAGGCTGGGGATGTGGCTCAAGCGGTAACATGCTTGCCTGGCATGTGCGGGGTGCTGGGTTCAATCCTCAGCACCACATAAAAATTAAAAAAAAATAAAGATGTTGTGTTCACCGAAAACTAAAAAATAAATATTAAAAAATTCTTTCTCCCTCTCTCTTTAAAAAAAAAGAAATCTGGTTGCCTACCAGAACGTTCTGTGTGATTAGGATACCATAACTTTCCTTCTGTCTTTCTTTCATTTCCCGCTTCCACATTGTCTATTTGAGATGACATGGAAGATACTTTATAAATGCAAATGTTTGCTATTTGATTAACAGATGGAGGAGCCCTCTGGATAAGTCAAGGCTGGTAGGACCCTGGTTTATTTGGGTATGGCATCCCTGCAGTGCACAAGAAGGGCCCATGGTGCACTGGAGACTGTATCACAAGGACACCCTCCTGCTACAGGTGATGTTGGCTGGGTCCTGAGGATCTGTACTCTATCAATTCCAGGATGTACCTACCAGGCTAACTGAAGGGATCAAGCTACCCATTAAAATGTTGGCAAAGGTGTCATGTTCAGGCACTGTTATTGCACCAAATGGTAACACTCAGTTGCCAGGTTAATTTACAGGTCTTTCTGACTCAAGGATATTTACCATAAATCCACAGAGCCTGGGTAGAGGGAGAAATGGGGAAGGAAGGTACCCTGATGGACACCAACCACCCACCCCAGAGACCCTAAGAGAGAGGATTCTCCTCTGGAAAAGTCACAAGCATGTTCTAAAGGACCCGCTTTACCAAATGACACACTGCTCATCCTATTATCTCATCAAACTCACAAAACCCAACTTCACGTGCAAGCAGATTAAAAAACACAGATGGACACGTATAAGCGAGACTTGAGAGTTATTTTCCAGTGAAAAGAAGGCAAAATATATTAGCGACTTAATCCTTTGGGTAATAAAATAAGTTTATTTATATATCCATGGTAGCGGAATTCTGTGGGTACGGAAAAATAAGTCATACATCCACAAATGTATATATAACATATGTATCCTTGATTACATATATTATATATAAATTTTACTTTACAAACAGATTTCTCACTCTATATACTCACACACGTTGATATAGTCAATGCAATAGCTAAAGAAACATGAGAAGGTTAAGGTCAGAGAACAACATAGACAGTAACAGAGAAAACAAATCTCAGGGCAACATTTAACCTGCTCCTTTGGGGGCTGAGAGACCACAGAACTCGGGTCGAGGAGGTTCATACAGACATCGAGAACACACATTTTCGAAGGCCATCTTGCTTTTTTGAAAAAGGGCAACGTGGGTGGGAAGGAGAAAGTCATGGTAAGAAGACCACAGTAAGTAACAACACAAACGGATGAACCGACATTCAATTTCAATTCCCAATCTGCCTATAAGAACATCTATATTCAAAATATACTATCAAACTATTTTTCTTTTTTAGAGAAAGGAAGCGTCAAAGCAGTTCTCTTCTCTTCTAGCCACTCTTAGGAAAATATCAGAGGAGCAGCCACCTCTGGAAGGCCCTCTTGTGTGGCTGAGAGTCTGAGCCTCACTGGTGCTGGTCGCTGGGCACCGTGGGAGTCCGGAGGCAGCCTGGCGGGATGCAGAGAGCAGGAGAGAGAAAGGAGGGCAAAAGAAGAGCCCATAGCAGATCCTTGGGCCCAAGGGGCAAGAGGGTCTGCAGTACCTCTGCGGGTGGACGGAACCAGCTTCTGGCTTCTCCCAAGCGGCTGGCTTTGGCAATCTGGTTTGCTTTAGGAGCGCAGGAGGAAGGTTTCAAAAGTGGCAAGCCCTTAGACCTGTTCCTTGGGACACAATACCATCATCACTTTTGGAGAAAACCCCAATGAACATCTGATCCTTAAGGAAGGGCGAGCGTTCTAAAGCTCCAGGGTTGGGACCTGTGCCTACACCCTCCCCGAGAGAAGAGGTGCCGTTGTGGGATGCAGATGTGGGGCTTCCAGGGACGGGAGGTCCTGTGGTTGGCCTGGCAGGAGCACCCATGGGGTGATCACAGGGCAGGCGCCTTAGGATGCTTCCACGTCCTTCACGGATTTCCTGAGGGTGGTCGGCTCCTGCCTCCGCCTACGACATGGGTGGCATTGAACTTGACATCCAGTGGTGCCACCGTGAGTCCCCAGGGTTCCTGTCCTCCAGGGTGAAGACATTTTCGCTTTTCCTGCTTTGGTTTGAGTATGCTGTACCTCGTGCTCCTCCTGGGTGGCCCAGTCCCCTTCACGCATGAGCATATGAGGAGGGAGGAGACAGGTCTCGAATCTAAGGAATCAGAGCTTTAGGAATCGGGCAACAGACTTGGCCACTTTAGCATTCTGCTTGTCCAGGAGGTCGGTCTCTTCCCTCACCTGCCCGGGCTCCTGCGACTCCCCAAGGGCTCAGAAACAGTTATCAAGAGAAGCAACTGATGCCACTGCTTTGCTTAGAAATACCTTTATTTTATAAAGCCACGGGTCATTCTGTAAAGTTTTTTTTTTTTTTTTTTTCTGATTTTAAACCACACTTATAAAAAAGATGTTGACAATTCTTAGGAAAAAAAGCTGAAAATGTTTCTCATTAAGTCAGGGTTACACAAAGGTTATATTTATAATATATATATTTGTATATTTATAATTTAGAGATGAAAAATAGGGAACGGCAGAGTGAAGGCTGCTGCAGCTAGATCTCAGACACTTGATCGTTTCCCACGAACAGTGTTTCTTGACAGAAGGGGTTCACGAGGACCATCCCCGTGTCTCGATAGTCGCCGTTGGCTGGGGACCGGGGCTCTGAGAGCTGGTCCTGGGGAGAGAGGGAGAAGATGCTGTGAGCTGGGGAAGGTGTTCTCAAACAAATGCACACAGAGGAACATTTATTTCAGGATCGCTTGGTATGCGTTTGTCACCTCTACTGCCAAGACGGGGGCGCAGAGTGCTCTCTGCTGTTCCTTTCAGATTTTTTCTAACAACTTCCAAAAAAGGCTTCCTGAGTTACCCCTACCCTAAGGTTGCCAGAGACGGTACTTCTTTCCTTGACAAAGTCTGAGAGGGGCTCACCGTGCAGGACACGTATCGTGTATGGCTTGCTTCCTTCAAGGGCAAACATTGGTTCACTTGGACCTCAGACTCTACTTTTGTCTTTCTCATAGATCTCTGGGAGACTTCTCTGTTCTTCCTTCCTGAACGCACCTGCTTTCACTCACTTCTTTCCTCTCCTGTCACCCATCAGAGTCTTTGATGTCCAATTTCTCCTCCTCACCTGACCCTCCTAGAGCCTGTTCAGAATTACTGCCCTGTTTCTTGTAGCACTAGAAGCTGAGCTTATAGCTAGAAGCTGAGCTCAGGGAACCTGAATCTGTGTGATTGTGTAATAGATGGTCAGGGAAGATGCTGAAGCCCTGTCTGCTCAACCCCAGGAGCAGGAAAGCCTAGCAATAGGCAATCCACTGCTCAGAAGGCAATATGATTGCATTGGCAGGGAAGGGTCAGGAAGGATTGCCACAACTTTGGGTTGCTAAAGGGCTGTCCTCAGCTTCAAGTGCAGGTATTAACCCATTTTGTCCCATTGTCCCAGATTTGGAACACCTATAAACACTAAAATTGAGGCAATGAATATAACACTTATGGTAACTTTGAGATAATTATTATGTACACAGAATTGACAGCTTGGGACTTAATGGTTTCATTTAGAAAAAAGGAAGAAAGAAAAGCCACAGCTTATTCCAACACTAAACAAAGTAAAATCTAAGACCCTCTGAGCCATTTCAGGGCAAATGAACTCAAGAGTAGACTTAAGGTATAATGGCTCAGGCCAGATCTGCCCACAAATGTCTTTTTTTTTTTTAAAGAAGCCACAATTAATTCTCTGTAGTTTATTTTTAAACAAAACATTGATGCTTTTTGAGGAGGGCTGATTGCTTCATGGATCACAAGGAGAGAAGAAACTCCACTGTTGATAAAATATCTTTTCAGGAGACAAGAAGCTCCTTCCCAGGTGGGACTTTGCTGAGGAGGGTGGCCCTGGGTCACCTTGCAGTGAAGGACAACAGGGTGGCACCTCAGAGGGGACAGAAATCCCTTTGGACAACCTTGCTGTTGGGTTGAGGGGGTTTAGAGGTTGAAATGTGGTCCACTGGTTTACAGTTCTTCCAAAGTAAGAATGTGCCCTGGGTGAACCACATCATACGCGTCACTGCATAGAAAGAAGGTTATTTAGAAAACAACCAAGGCAGGAAAGGAGAAAAAGAAAGGAGGAGGAGGAGAAAGAAGAGAGAATAGGAATTCCAGGGACCCTCTGGCTGACACCATCTTGCCTGTCTAATTCTGGATTTGCTTGGCTGCTTTCATGGACATGGATGGGGAGCAGAGAGCAGAGAAACTTGCTTAGGCAAAGCATTTGGTGGTTCTAAGGCTGGTGGCTAAAAGGCAGGGGGTGGGTGATCTGAGGGTGTGCAGCATGGTGGAATTTGCTTCAGGACATCTGGCATGGTCTGCAGCCCACGCATGTCCCCAGCTGTCTCTGTCCAGGCTCCGGGCTGCCCTCCTCTGCCCTCAGACAGCGTGAGCTCAGATAATTGGAACAAATGGCCATATTTCTCTAAATAAAGCAAAAGAAGGTGAGTAGAGTGCCGGGAGGCGAACAGCACTAAAATCTGCTCTGAAGCCAAGCCGAGCTTTTAGCTGGGGCTTCGGTGGCACCCTCCTGATCTGGAGACCACAAGCAGCTGGGACGGCCCTTTCCACCAGAGCCTTTGGCTTGTGTTGGACGGTGGCCCTGGTGCTCCAGGCTGGAATAATGCCTGACCGTGGAGCTCTGCAAGTGGGGACTTTACTGCGGTGAGCTCTGGAGCACTGTCCTTTGGCTTTGGTTCTCATTTACAGATATGCAAAAAGCATATGTGAAATTGGGAGTTCAGGGGCTCACAGGCCATACTCAAAATGGGGCCAGTTAGGGAATTTTTTTGCCAAGTTAGAATTGTTTTCACCTACTCTAATATAAAATGTGCTCTGTCTCCATTCAAAGTTTATTCTCCCATGAAGCTGGCCTTCTGTTTGTCCTTTGTTTAATTTATGACTATTTTTTATTAAGCGACTACTATGTGTTAGGGTAAACGGCAGTGAATAGAATTCATGGTTCCTTCATTTCATGTGATTTACCAGAGGGCTGCCTTGGTTCAGGCACTGTCCTAGGTGCTGGGAATGGAGCAGTGAACCCAAGGAACAAGGCCCCTGCCCTCAGGCAGTTTATATTACAGCAGGGAATGCACCAAAACCAGGTCAAAAGAGGGATAAGGATGTGACATTAGGGGGCTCTCATCAGTTCAGAATAGTGAGGGCAAGACTCCCCCAGGAGATGACCTTTGAACAGAGACCAGAAGGAAGCAAGAGATGGAGACATGCAGGAGAAAAGCATTCCAGAGAGGTGCCAGGGCAGCCGGCTTCCTGTGCAGGGGGAAGAGCAAAAAGACCAGTGCAAACCCAGGTGCTTGGGAGGCTGAGGCAGGAGGATGGCAAGTTCAAGGCCAGCCTGGGCGACTTAATCCGGAAAATTTTAAAAAAAGGAGGTGGTGGTGCTGGGGATGTAGCTCAGTGGTACAGCACCTGTGGGTCCAATCTCAGCACCACTAAGTGGCTTGGGGGTATGTGGGGTGACATGTCAGTGGGCAGGGCCAGCTTCTGAAGAGTCTGTATGGAAGGAGGAGCCTGAATTTTATCTAATGTGTGAAGAGGAGCCATTGAGAGTCGGGAGCCTTGGCTGACACGGGGTCTGGCTGAAGGGTGGCTGTCTGTCTTCATAGATTTCAGGTGGCCAGATGGGAACGGGGAGCCCGGGTTTCAGAGCCGGCTGCAGCCATTATGAGGTGGGGTGAGGCTGGGCTGGGCCCTGCTAAAGGAAGGATCAGTAGGGCTTCCCAGACTGGGGCGTCAGAGGCAAAACCCTCTGCTGTGGCATCTATGTAACAAAGAAACCATGAGAGTTTTGAGTTTGGGGGTGGGAGAGAGGAATGAAGAATTCAGACCTGGGCAGGTGGAATTTGAGACAATTATTAGACGTGTGTGTGGCAGGTGGCCGGGCATTTGGGTCTGGCGTTCAGGAGAGATGTCAAGGCAAGAGAGAAATTTGGAGTCAATGGTGTGGCAATAGCCATGGCTTTTCAATTGTGGAACTAAGTAGAAAAAGAGGAGCCAAGGCAGGACTGAGCCTGGGCTCCAGTGACAAAAGGCCAGGGAAAGACAGGGACTCAGTGACAAACTGGGAAGGAGCTGCCAGGAGTAGGGGAGAGCTGGAGAGGGACATGCAGTGGCGGTGAACGCCTGTAATCCCAGTAGTTCAGGAGGCTGAGGCAGGAGGATCGTGAATTCAAAGCCAGCCTCAGCAACTTAGCAAGCCCCTAAGCAACTCAATGAGACCCTGTCTCTAAATAACATACAAAATAGGGCTGGGGATGTGGCTCAGTGGTTTAAGTGCAACTGGGTCCAATCCCTGGTACCAAATAAATAAATAAATAAATAAGGAGGGGATGGTTGGTTGACTGGCAACGCGGCTGGTAGATCTGGTAAGAAGGGTGCTTAGAACTGACCACTGGGGTTAGCAGTGTGGAAGCCATTGGCTGTTCCAGGGTAAGCAGGATCAGACCAGGAGCCACGTGATCGCAACTCCAGTGAATGCTAAAATGCTAAAATGGACAAGCACACTGAGCCGAGGCCCTAGGGTAGAAGGCCAAAGTCAGCCTGGCAGGTCAGGGAAGGCCATATGCAGATGGGGCCCTGAATGATGGCAGAGGTCACTGAGGTGAACAAGGGGAGAGACAGGAGGCACTGCAGGAGAGGGAATAGCCCATGCACAGGTCTAGAGAGCGTGCCATGTCACTTGGTACCATGAGGGATCCTGTGTGGCTGGAGCTTAGCAGGTGAGGGGGAGAGCAACACCAGAATGTTGGCAGGAGGCAGGTCTACTTTGTAAAAGACTTTGAACTTTAGCTAAAGGGCAATGGGAAGCAGCAGAAGGATCTTGGGCATGGAGCTCTGTGGCCACAGTGACATTTGTAATGGTCAGCAGGGGAAGTGGGGAGTGTGCCTCCCAAATAGCTCTTCTCACCGGCCTGCCAGTTCAGAAGTCCGCCATCTTTCTCTTGGCCTGTCTCCACCGCACCCTAGTTGACCTACTATTTCTGCTTGGTTTTTCTGTCTATTTTCCCATCCATTCATCCATCTACCAAACCACCCTTCTTTTCCTTCCTAATTCATTCTCTGACCACACATGGAGTGCCTTCACCAGGCAACAGCATAATTCTCCTAACCCTGGCTCAACCAGCCCTGGAGACCTCCAATGACCCTTTGATGCCCCAAAGTAACGTCCACAATCCGTGATACCCCATCCAGGATCGTGCCTCATCTGGTCCCTTCATCCCTCTTTCTTGCTCCCCCCTGCTGTTCCCCCTGCTCCATGGGGAATAAAAAGAGTGTGGACTCCGATTATAGAGTCAAGGCCAGGGTTTCTCACTGGCCAGCCATCCAGTAGCCACAGGCCAGCACTCCCAGTGACTTCTCCCTCTCCAGTGCCTTCTCCTTGGCCTGATGTACTATACCCCCACCAGATCCCTTCCCGGACTTAGGCTTCTTCTTTTCCACGATGCCTGCTTGAAATCCACACGTCCTTCCCAGCACCTCCCCTGGGCAGGCTTCCCTTCCCTGTAGCTCTTTGTTTGTAACCGGTCCTTGTGTCCTCTAGTCTGTTTCTGAGGGGATGCTGGGGTTCATCTCCCAGCCACATCTCAGATTTTGAGCCCCTGAGAAGAAGCTGTCATCTCCATGGTGCCCTGAAAGTGCCTGCCACCAAACAGGTTCTCAATCAGTATTTGTTATTATTCCCGGAAACCAGGAGTGCTAAGAACACTGCTCCTCCAATGTGCAGAAGGCACCTGGGAATTCTTGTTAAAATGCAGATCCTGGTTCAGCAGGGCAGGGGTGGGCATGGTGGCTGCTGCCCGAGCATAGAGCACTGAGATGGGCGGGGGCTCTGTGGCTCTCTGAGGGGCCGTGCTGTTCCCTGCACTCCTGGGGGACCTCGAGGTGTGGGGCTCCTTACCTCGGAGGTCTCCAGGGACTGAATCTCCCTGGGCAGCTCCACGGCGTGCCTGTTAAAGTAGTCCATGGTGATGGCGTTGTTCCAGTAGCTCAGGTTGTTCTCGGGGTTGGCTGTCTTCTTCTTCCTCCTCATGCAGCACACAGTCAGCAAGACGGCTGTGGAGACAGTGCAAGTCAGAGAGGGAGGTGACAAGGACAAGGACAGAGGCAGTGGTCCTGGGGATGAATGCCTGTCTCTAGGCAGGGCTTCCGAAGGCCAGACATCCTTCCTTCCTCTCTTCTTTTGTCCTTCCAACCAGTATCTACGTATATCGAGTGCCTATCTTGTGCCAGAAACTGTTAAAATTATTGGGGAGGTAGAGGTAGAAGAAAAGGACCCCCAACTTTCCTGAGTTTCCACTGCAACACAAGAATGGAGGGATGCAGAGTGGTTAGACAAGAATCATAAACAAAATGAATAAATAAGGCAAATTCAGAGGTGATAACCATTCAATGAAGGCAACAGGGTAAAGTGGGAGAGACGATGAGGGGAGTTGGGGGAGAGGCTGATTTAGAATCACCATGATGGGCTACACTGAGGTGGTAACCTTAGAGCAGGGAGCCAGTTCTATTGTGGGATGGATGGGTCAGTATGTTCTAGGAGGGTGAACAGCATGTGCATAGGGGCTGAGGTGGGGACAAGGTAATTGTGCAGGAGAACAGGAAGAGCAGCTGTGGAGTGGAGTGTGTGTGGAGAAGGAGGTGAGGTCAGAGCAGTGTTTAGAGGCTGCCCCAAGGGGCTGAGGGTCCCGGGACTTGCATGGAGCTTGATGATATCTATTGTTACCGCAGGTCTATAGTTTTAGTTAGCCAAGAAAGGTCTTTCTCTTGCTCATCTGGTAGGAAGGCTCCCCAGAGCTTGGCTGCAAATAAGAGTGGATGCATCCTGAGTTGCACCTGTGGACTGATGGGAGCATTCTCAGCTGGAGCGGAAGTATGGCAGAAAGGGGAGCAGGGCTCAGTGAACTTTACAAAATAAGCCCTTGACTTCTATAGAGGATCTGGAGGGCAGAGGCTCACAGTGAAATCCCTGATAGAACAGCTTTTCTGGCACTATCATGAGAAAAATCAGCGACAAAAAAACCTGCTAAAATCTATGCAAGAATTATGTTCCAGGCACATTAGAAATATGACTTCATTGCTGGGTGTGGTGGCACACACCTGTAATCTCAGAGACTTGGGAGGCTGAGGCAGGAGGTTGCAAGTTCGAGGCCAGCCTAACCAATCTGAGACTCTGTCTGAAAATAAAATATGAAAAGAGCTGGGGATGCGCCATAGTAATAAAGTGCTGGGTTCCATTCTCTGTACTGCCTGCCCCCAATTTTCTTTTTCATTTAATTCTCCATTTAATGCTTGAGGTCAGTACTACCAGGCTTACTGATTTTATAGATAGGAAAACAGACTTGGAGAGGAAAAGTGATATGCTCAAGAGCAAACCCACACACCTGGACTCCAAAGCCCATGCCCTTAAACATCCATGGTTCTGCTCTGGGCAGGTACAGAGGCTCAACTTGTGCAGGTGGCCTGATCAGGGCTCAGTGGCCTGACTGCATGCCCCCACCATGACGTATGGCTCTCTCTGCTTAATTGCTAGGACTCCCAGGAGGAAGGCACATGTCTGGATTTTGTGGATGAACTAGGTATGGACAGAGTGGCTTGGGCATGCTGGCAGGGAAGGCTTCTGAGGTCACTGAGTGGGGTGGCCTATCCTGATTCACACAGTGGGATGGCAATGCAATAGGGTGATAAAAGTCCTCATGGGGAGAAGCCAGTAAGTGAGGGCTGAGTACATCCTACCCCAGGTTCTCTACCACTAGAATCTCCGGATGTGGCGCCAGGGGTGGCCAGGGCTGCATGCACCCAACCCCTGGTGGTGCCAATCACTTCTGTGCGGGACAACAGGGCAAGCTGCGCTGCCCAGAGGCCAGCACCAGGGGGCAGCAGAGCACCGGTTCCATCCACAGCAGCCGGAGAGTCTGGCCAGCATTCTGTGGGTCACGTCAGTGCACCAGGCAGCTGCAAAAGCTGGCATCCATGCAGACTGAGACCTCAGAGCCAGACCCAGAGCCCCAGGGGGTGACTGGGTATTCTGTAGTTTTCTTTCCAGCTGCCAGCCTTGCTGGCATCTCAACCTGAAAGGCCTCTGAACAAGGTCAAGAGATAGGGTGAGTTTCCCTTTCCTTGAATCTGCTAGGAACTGTCTTTTTAAAATTGCTTCTCATCCCTCCACTCCCTCCTTTTAAAAAGGCTCTAAAACATAAGGGAGATTCCTGAATGGGCTAAAGGGATTCTAGAGATTAGCTGGCATCTAATTGTTCAGAATTTTGTGGATCTCCTTCTTGCCCTCCTTTGCCTCAAAAGTCCTTTCTTTTAAATAGTTAAAGGAGAAAACAGGGTGCAGAAAGGATCCATCCGCCTGGAAACCTGCTCCTTCAGGCCACCTTCTCATTCTGCAGGTGAAACACCACAGCCTGAAGCCCAGCTGACTTGCCACCGGCCACAGGTCTGTGAGTGGCTGGGTTGGGACAGGACTTCAAGTCCCCTTTCTTATTTTCTGATGTGTTTATTCCTCATCGCTACTACCTTTCAGCCAGCTCCTGGACCTGGGATGGTGAAATAGTGGGGGAATTCAAACTGGTGAAACAGAAGCCGTGAAGAGAGGGATGTGGGCAAAGTGCCACTCTCTCAGCTCCTGCTCTGTTCTGGTGGAGGGTTGTCAGGAAGGTTTCCTCTATTGGGACAAACAGAGCCACTCTTCAACTGTAGGGCACCTCCCATCATGTCACACAGACTCCAAACACAGGCTGGCAGGGGAGGAAAGGTGCCCATGAGCTAGATTTGTATAGTCTATGCAGCCCTTTAAGGGAGAAGGGTATCTGCGCCTCCCATGTGGTCTTAGCTGTCCCCTAGTCAATATGGCAGGAGGGATGTAGATTTAGAATCTAGATGATAGTTGATCACTCGCATAACCTGAGTAAATTACTTAGTCCTCCTCAGCCTCAGCCTCCTCTGGGAAGATTAGATGCAACCACGCACTTGGCATTGTTCCTGGACACAGTAGGTGGGTAACTAAACCTGTCCCTTCTTCCATCCTACATTCTTACTCTACAAAGTGGGGGAATGGAAACCCCAAGAGGTGAGCTTGCCCACGGCTGTGCTGCCAACCTGGGCTGGCAGTGGGCAGAATCCTGGTCTGCTGGCCCCTCATCCAGTGCTGTGTCTAACAGCCCACGTTGCCCCTGGATCTGAAGAAAGCCAGGTGCAGGGATCCTACCCTGCAGGGAGGGCTGATGCCTTGCAGGATAACCTCGGACTGGGACAGGGTGCTCTCTTCCATGCTTCTCCCCATCACATGGTGTTAGGGTGCCTGGCTGGTTATGTTTCTCTCAGGGAGTTTCAGGGCTTCTCTCCATTTCATCTTTTTAATGGAAGCCAGCCTCACTACAGAGAGAGCAGGCTTGGTGGCAGAGAGGCCTGGGTTCAAGTCACAGCTCTGCCACATATTACACCTGGTAGGCCACTGCATCTCTCTGACCAATATGGACTTCATGGGGTTGTAAGCACAATGCCTGACACACTATGGCTGCTTCATTAACACGAGCTCTTTTCTTGTTCTCCCAGCAGCCTGCACAAGAAAGATCTAGAAAGAAAAGCTGGGCTGCATGCCTATTGGGGTGCTTGAGGCCCAAGCTCCACTAGGGGCTTAGAACTTTCGTTATTTCAGTGATCTGAAATTTCACCTAAGAGATAAGTACAACAACTTAGATTGTGGAGTGTGTAATGTTTTCCCAGTACCTGAGCACTTTACATGCCAATTTAAGCCCTCACACGAACCACTTTGGAAAGGTATTGGTGCTCATCTCATTTATGGAAGAGGTAATTAAAGGTCATGGGAATTAACGATATGGATCATGATCACCCAGTTAATTAAAGCAATTTGAACACAGGTCTCGGTGACCTTCAAGTTGATGCCTGCCATCCTATGTCATCCTGAACACTGGGGGACACCTGCACTGGGTAAGGAGAGTGCTACGCCAACTTCACAGGTGCATCCAAACACAGGGTGCCAGCCACTCCCTCCCCCACTTAGCTGAGCATCTTCAATTTTCTGTGTCACCAGAGGCAATGGCCATCAAGGCCAGCAGACATGAATGAGGCCCCTGATTCCTTGAGTTTTCAAACAGGGCTGACATTTAAGCAGACTCTCTTGGCTTCCCATGAATGTCAACAGGGAACCATCCACGGCTTGTCAGATGTGACAGGAGAAGAGGAGGTCACGGATTTTAAGGCATAGCCCTAGATATTATGTTCAAATTTCTGGGAGGGGAAATGCTTTCAGATGAAAGGATCTGCCATGGGCTAAGAGATGGAAATGAAGCCCCACAGGTCCCCAGGGAGCCAACCTTTCTAAACACCTGCTGAATGGCTCTCTGCCTGGCCGGTTTGGGCACACACTGTAAATCCTAATAGCAACGAGATGGATAATGAATGTGACTCAATCGCTGCCATTTGTGAGCACCCTCTCTGTGGCGGACCCTCACCTAAGTCCTTGCACGTATCATCTCTGCTGTTTTACAAGTCTTCAAGGTGGGTGTTGCAGACATGGAAATGTCTGTGTCCCACAGCCGGTGAGTGGCAAGAGCTGGACTGACCTGCAAGCCTGTTTGATTCCATGAGCCAGATCTTTCTAGCGCAGCAGGGTTAGCCATGCAGGGTACAAATTAGGGAAGTTGGAGAGAACAGAAAGTTGTGATATATTTCAGACTGGGCCCCTCAATTTACAGATGAGAAAACAGACCAGTGAGTAGAAGGAATAATTCAGTAGTGTCACTGTGAAGCAGGACTGTGGACTGTCATTTCCGTCCTTTGGGGATTGAGTGAGGAGCCTGCAGGGAGTCCTTAGGGTATGGAATGAGGTCAGAGGCTTGGGGAAGCCAGGTTGTGGGGCTTAGTATCTGGCTCCCCAGCCTGGCAGGTGGGAATATGCCTAGAGAAGCCCAGCAGGGGGCGCTAGCTGGGAAGCACTGATAAGAGCTATCAGAAGGAGCGCATGACACTGCTGTGGCAGGGTGACATTCCCTGGACAACCCTACCTTGCCCTTGGCTTTCTCCCTTCCCCCTTCTTCCATTGGTCCATAAACTCTAAGGAGAAAAGCCTCCCATCCACCCTTCCTTCTGTTCCAACATCTTCTATTCTTTTCATTGCTAGGAGTCATTCTGACCCAGGACGTCTTATAGAATTACAAAATGACTAAAGGCCTATGAGTGACACAGGGACCTATATTCTCAGAGCAGGTCTGCATGAACAACCAACATGGCTACCCATCATTAGGTGCAATGATCTCAGGATGCTGCCTAATGCTCCAGAGTCTGGAGGGAAGTCAGACTGCCCTGGTGCAAGGTGCACATGAACTCTCAGGTATCCAGGGTTGCTGGGAGGCTCAACTCTGTCTGTCAGGCTCAGCTTGGCAGATGAGCAGCACCTGCCAGGGGCCTCCCTGTCTGATCCCATCCTCCATTGCTCATGGCGGGGCAGGGAGAAAATATTCTGGAGGATGGATGTGACACAGGTACACAGGCAAGAGAGCCTGGTAGGGCCTCCGGACTGGCGTTCCTGTGAAAACCCAGACCACTGACTGGTGGGTGAGGACCACAATTCATGCCAGGCCAGAGGCTTCTAACAGGAGTCTGTAGGTACCATGCATCCTGATGGTGGCAGCAGAGACCAGCTCAGGAGCCACATGGCTCCCCTGCTGTGGCTGGCTGTGGCTTGGATCCAATCAATTTCAATTCTTAGCACTTCTGAAACCCTGTTGGCTGCGAGTGTCTGGCAGGACTCAGAAAAAAAAAAAAAAATTTTTTTTTTCCAGCCCTGGCACAAATATACTCTTCTAGTCACTGGGTGGGGCAAGTGATCTGGAAGGGCAGGTGAACTGTGGGTGCCCTTCTTGGGACAAGCAGGGGAGGTTTTGCTAACCCTCCCTGCTGCTTCTACCAGAAGCAGAGAAATCATGCATCCCCTGACCAGCAGCCCTGGCTGCAGAAATCAGGGCCAGAGCTGATGCTGGTCTGAATGGCCAGAGGGAGGAAGTCTACACTTGAACCTAGCCTACATGGCCTGGAATACCCTGTGGGAACATCATCCAAACAGATGAGGACATTTCCAGAGACAGCCTGGGGTTTAGAGGCTTATAATTTTTTTTTTTTTTTGATCTTAGTTTCCCTCTCACAGGGGCCTTCACAGAGTTAACGATGGTCCCATAGGAGTCGGGACCATGAACAAGGACACAGAGCTGATATGAAGGCAGCCAGGGTCAGGCAGAAGTGAGGGGACTTCAGTATGGAGATGGGCTCTGTCATTCCCAAGGGGCTACCAGAGTCTACTTTGAACAGCATTCATAATTCACTTTAGAAAATAAGATGTTCTACCCCCAGCACCTGAAGTCTCCTTTCAGAACATCAGGAGTGTCCTCCAGGTACAGTCCTGAGCTGTGTCCTTGCTCCTGTCTCTACTGACATCTGGATCCACGGTGTAGGCAGCCTCTGGGATTTTCAGCTTTGCAGCAGGATCTGATCTAATTTCGAACTCGCACCTCCCAGAAGCACAGGGGGAGAAGTAGGAGTCATTTTAGAACAGCAAAACCCAGGTGGGTGTGGTCTGCGGGGGCTTTGGGTCTATCCTGCCCTTTCTAGCTCAGGCAAAGGACAGCCAGGGGGTTACTGGGTGCTGAGAGTTGGGGAGAGTTGCACATCTGTGGTTCCCGAGTGCTTGGCACAGTGCCTGGCATACAGTGGGCACTTGCAAAACACTGCACCGAATCAGACAAATGGATTTTACACACCACCTCCAGGCTGACTGACTGCAAGATGGGGACTCTGGGCAAATTACTTTACCTAGCAACTTAATTCCCATCTGTAAAGGGTGGATGATGAGCACAGTCCACCCTGGTACCTCGTTTCCGTTTTTGTTTTATTTTCTCTGACTAGTTTGTTTTAAAGAAGGAATGATTAAGAAAACATATGGGGAACTCACTTTGTAAACTAGAGTATCCATCAAGACACATGTAAAGGGTGGAAAAGTAAAAAGCTGTCTCTTGTGTGGTTCCTTCTCAAACACGACCATTAATAATTTTATTGGGGCCGGAGGTTCATGAATTCAAAGCCAGCCTCAGCAACTTAGCAAGGCCCTAAGCAACTCAGTGAGACCCTGTTTTTTTTAAAAAAATGTATCTATATAGAAAAGGGCTGGGGATGTGGCTCAGTGCTAAAGTGCCACTAGGTACAATCCCTGGTACAAAAAAAAAAAAAAATTGGCCAAGAGTGCTACATTGTCTCATTATCATTCTTCCATTTTAGAACTAGGCAATCACAGTTTATAAATTATGTGTTTCCATGAGAGATGATACAGCTACTTTTATTAAGAATGAAATATGCAACTTGCAAATATTTTCACTTTTCCAGATTAGGGTCCTAGAGCAGCAGCAGGCTGCCTGCAAACACGGAAAGTTTGTGTGGCTTAATGAGCAGGCGGAAGTGGCGCCTGGGAAGAATCTAGATTCCAGATTAGAAAAATATCTGGGGGGGAGTCTAATGCCAAGCAGAAATCACAGCTCATGTTAAAGGCACGGACCACTTGCACTAATCCATGGCATGAGAGAAGCCGGGGGTCCTGGGTTCACAGCCTGCGCTGGAGGAGGCCCCTGCCCTGTGGGAAGCCTGTTGAGATCAAGGTGAGCCCGTGGCATGACCTCAAGTCAGTACAACCAACAGGGCTGAGGCCAGCGCAGGTTGACTGTGGCCAAAGCGTCCACCGTTAGCTTCCTCCGTCATGGCTGGGCATGTGTGAAAAACTGTGTTCCTTTCTAGGTAAACAGGAATAAAGTGGTGGCCATACAGAGGGGACAGATGGGGGACAGGACCAGGGCCAAGGCAGCCCTATGAAGGAGACTCGAAGGTCAAGGATGAGCAGATTGGACAAAGAACGCTGCCCTTGAGAGCCATTCCATTGCTCCTGGATGGTTAGATGGACTGATTTGTGTGGTTTCAGAAGGCACAGCTTGGGGTCATGGGGTAAAAATTATAAGGGGGCCAACTTCAGGCCCCCAGGAGAGCGGGAGAAATCCTGAAGGGTCCAAGAAGAAGAGGCTGTCCAGGGAGTGAGGAGTATGGTGGGAGCGCTCATCCCTAGAAGGGTCCAGGGGGTGGCTGGATGGCAACCAGGTGGGGTGGGATGGGGCTGAGGCCAATGAAGACTCTTGCAACGTTACCAGAGAAACTGAGAATAGAAGATCAACCACCCGGAGAAGACGAAGGAAGCCCTCCACTCTTTATGGAGACATCAGGGAAAATGTCCCCCGACTCCTCACTCCTCACACGGGGACAGGCAGCAGTAAGGAGATGCTGGTGGACCTCACGAGAGCAAAATGGAAGGATGAGGTCCACCCTGCACCCAGCTCATACCACCCAAGAACAAATAAAGCGGGCTGGGGGTGGCGTGCAGGTGGAGAGGAGCTAAAATGCACATAACCACATAACTCTCAAGCCTTCCTTTTGCTGCAAGAGCCATGTGTGTTTTTTTTTTTTTTTTGCCAAGGCCAATGGAACTCCCCACTGCATGGGAGCATTACCTCCTCTTGTCTCTCCAGAGAAGGGAGTGAGGAGGAAAGGAATGAAAAGACAAGAAGGAACGCGGAGGAGGAGAGGTCAATGAGGACTTGGCTGGTTGGAGGCTGTTTCTTTGGAAGGCTCAGCTTTCACCCACTGACTTCATGCCACGTTACTGCAGGGTCTGGCAGGTTGCCCTGGAGGGAGGTCAGTGTCATGGCAGGAGCACTCACTGGAAGGTGCTCTGAGGTCCCGTCCCAGCCCTGCCTTTGACTCTTGGAACCTGGGTAAGTTTCTTTTTTTCTGGAAAAATACATGGTTGGATTAGATTGTCTGTAAGGTCCTCCCCAGCTCTTGGGAACTGTGGCTTTATGACCTGAGGACATTTGAGCCATGGCCTGGCGGGGCCCAGAACCAGGGACAGGGAGAAGCCGTGATTCTTGATTCTCCCTCGTTTCCTGGGACTCCAGGAGCCTTGCAGCCCACTTGGTCCTCTAGGGCGAAGGGTGAGTACTGTTGGCATGGTGGGCGGAGAGGGAGGAGGGAGGGGAGTGGGGAGAAGCGAGGCACTTACAGCAGGAGGAGATGGGTACGCTGATGGCCAGGATCACCCAGACGATGTCCATCTTGCTCAGGCAGATGGTGGTTCTGTGCTGGGGCTTGTCTCCTTCAGCCACGTGGGAGATGTTCCCTGCTGTTCCGGGCTTCCAGGTCCCGGCGGGGACCAGGCGGTTGAGGAAGTTTCCTGTGGCTGTGGACACCACTGTGGAGAGAGGACTGGGCACCCTGTCGGTCACGGTGGGGGAGGCCGCAGCCTCCTCCTCGGCTGGAGAAACAGTGTTTTCTGAGGCCCCCGGGGGACGGGCTGGGACCTTTGGGGTTGTGGATGCTCCCTGAGGAATCCCCTGGGAAGGGGCTGAGCCACTGGCATCAAAGGCAGCCTGGGTGGACCCCGGGGCAGCTGTGAAGACCCCAGAGCTGCCAGACGGAGGTCTATTGGTGCCAGGGGTGACAGTAAGCCAAGAGTCACTGTGGCTGGGGCTGTCTTGCACGTCACCACGGGGGCGTTGAGAAGGCACTGGGGCAGGTTGTGGACGGGCAGGGGCACCTGAGGCGGCTGTGGCGACCGGCTCCCCTCCTGGGCTGGTGAAGGTGGGGACACCCCCCTGGTCTGCTCTGCTAAGGCCTGGCTTGTCCTCTGCAGGCACCGCAGGGGTAGTGGGGGGTGCCCACGAGGTACTTCCAGATGCTGTGGTCACAGCCACTGTCTGGGGCTGTGGCGAAGAGGAGTTCCCCCAGGGTGGGGTCCTGGGGGAAAGGGCAAAGGGTTCGGGGTCCACAGACCCTGTGAAGTTGCCCTTGTAGATCTGAAATATCTTCCCCAGGGGTCGCTTGGGCCCCAGGTGCGTGGAGCTCTGATTGCGTCCTCGGTGGCCTTCTTTCCTCCCAGAGTAGCCGCCGGGGGCAGGTGGGACAGGGCGCGATGAACCCCCAGCCCCCTTTCGGGAAGAGCCGGGGGGTCTGGGGGGCCTGCGGGTGGTAGCCCGGGGGACCGCTGCGGTGGGCCGGCTGGTGACTCCTGTTGGCTTTGTCAGCAGGATGGTGGGGGCGGCCTCCCCAGGGGGGCGGCCCTCTGAATGCGAGGGTGTGGTTGCCATAGGAACTGGAGGGGAACCTGTGAGCAGGGGCCTTTCAGGATGGGGGGTGGTTGCTGTCACCATGACGGTGGGAACAGTGTTTGTAGGAGGGTGCCCATCTGGATGGGCTGTCGTTGCCGTGGTAGCTGCGGCCTGTGAGGAGGGTCCATCGGGATGGGGGTTCAGCGCCGTGGAGGAGGGTCTAGTAGGGCTGTGGGATGCTGTCACCATGGTGCCTGGGGGACTGCCTGAGGGGAGGACCTGGAGAGATTCCCTGGGAGATGGTTCCTGGACAGCAAGTACCAGTGCTTCGGTCAGTGCCAAGGTCAGGAGGAAGCCTGGAGAGGGAGACAGAGAGGAGAGGTGAGATCCCCAAGGAGCCATCTATAGAGGCGCCCTCTTTACTCATGACCTTAGAAAGTTCTGGGATTGCAGGGGATGCGTCAGGAGCATTTTTGAGACTCACACTGATGCACGACACTCAGTGGGACACAGAACCATATGTGCAGCTGGACACGGCTAGGAAGAGATGCCAGCATCAGGAGACCCAGAGCCAGTGGAACTGGCTGGACCGTCCTTTCTCAAATGTCTTAGGCCATCAGCCTTCGCCTAAGGCACAGCAGGAGCTTCAGAGGCTGTGGCTTCCACGGTACCTTGTCTTTTAGAATTTAAGAGTGAGCAAGGCCAGCTTGGCCACATGAACCACTCAGAACTGCATGAGGAAGGCTGGCTGGGCAGAGCGAACCAGCTCCTCTTCCCTTCTCTGAACTGGACAAAGGTACAAATGTCGAGCCTCATCACCAAACAATTAAAGAGGGGCTACCCTCTCCTTGACCCTGAGGACCCCAAATGGAGCAGGGCAGCACCTGGCCCTGGAGGAGCTTGCATAAATCCACAAACAATCCTAAAAGAAGGCAGAGGTGTCTCAGTGTCAAAGAGGAGGGACAGAAGGAAGGGGACACTGGTCCAGGGAAAGGGCATCCAGATCAGACACCCATAAAGCACTTGGTACAGAGTTTGGAATAGAAAACACACTCTATACAAGCCAGCTGGCATTGGAGTTTTTGTTATTAGTAACAGCTCTTCCGATGGCACCTAAGTGGCTGAACTCTGAAACATCTCCTGGGTGGTACCCAGTCTTTTTGAGTAGGAGGAGCCCTTTTGAACATTAAAAAAAAAAATTGCATGACAGTCAATGTGTGTACTTTTAGTTCATTGAAAAGATGCAAAGGATAAAAACCTATACGTTTAAAAACATTTCTAAATATGCATGGTCTTATTAATCTTAGCAGCATGAGTCAGTCTTTAAAAATAATATCTCATATACACCGTCGGATCCTTCAGATCACAGACTGCCAGGCGGACTGGGCCCACCTGTGGTTAGGAAGAGCTAGTCTCTCCTGCTGAGGAGCAGCAGACATTTCCTAGGTCCTGATTCTGACCTGCCCACTCCCCTTTGTTCATATGAACATACTTCTTTGCCATTCTAGACTTTGGCCCCAGGACTAACTTTGTCAGAGTTCTTGTCCAGATTCCAGCAGGACATACGGTCAAAGCAGGGGCCCCAACTGGGATTCACACACTGGCTGGGAGGGCCAGCAGCTGCTGACAGGGGCAGGGACCCAAAGCCCTGTGATCACCTTAGGTACGCGTGTAGACCCCTGTGCCTCTCACCTGAACTTCTAAGTGAGAGGTGAAGGGTTAAGGAACTTGGGGTTGAGTGAAGGTTACCGTGCCCATCATCCTTAGGACCAATGGTCGGCCCTAAGCAGCCTATTCTTTTAGGCATTCATTCATGACTTCAATCATACATCAAGAGAGCACCTGGCTTATTTCAGTCAGTCCTAAAAACCGTGCTTGATTTAATCCTCACAACCACTTTGCACAGTGGGAAACTGAGGCTCGAAGAGATCATATCAGAAGTATGTGAAACCAGTATGCTAAATGTATGCTTTTCCTGGTCAACTGCCCCCATTAATGCAGGAAGAGGAAGAGGATCTGAAATTGCATCCACAAAAGAAACAATGTGTTGCTATGCTTGTTGGCTCTGGGTTATTTCAGCTCCCCTTCACCCTGCCCCACACACCTTGCACCTTAGCACCAAAGGAACAGTCTTGAGGCTGATGGGCAATCGCCAATGTTTCATAGAATATTCCCTTAAAAGCCCCCAGGTTGTCTCATGAGTGACTTGGTCTAATATAAATGTTGTTAAGAGCTGAATTGTGTCCCCACCCTGAATTTATATATGGAAGTTCTAATCCTCAAGTATCTCAGAATGTGACTGTATTTGGAGATAATTAAGTTAAAATGAGGCCAATAGGGCAACTTTAATCTGGTCCAACTGGTGTTCTTCTAAGACGAAGAGATTAGAACCTACAGAGTGACACCAGGGGCTTTGTCCGCAGATGGATGAAATTGTGAGGTCAAAGCAGAAAGTGTGTAGGTGGTAGGAAAGAGGCCTCAGGAATCCAACCCTGCTGCCATCTTGATTTTGGACTTCCTGCCTCCAGAACCCATAAAGAGATAATGGTCTGTGGTATTTTGTTATAGCAGCCTAGCCAACTGATACAAACTAATACAAGCATTTGTCTGAAAAGGGAGAGACAGAAACAGGAGCTTGTGTGCAGGTAGTTTATATTGGAGGTGATGTGAGGTCAGCCGTCGGGGTCTGAGATGAGTGAAATAGGGAAAAACCATCCGGGGCAGCTCTGAGATGATGGGGTGGGCAACTCAAACTCACTGGGTATGTCTGAGGAGCTGGGTATGCTGAACCCCACATTGCCTGCTTGGAGAATACTCACTCACCTAGGGGCTGTCCTCTGCACTAGCCTGCACTAGCTGAGTGGGCCTCCACTGTACTCCCAGGACCTCATGGGGCTGAGTCAGGGAAGCCTTGGGCCTAGGGTCTGACAGATAATGCCTGCACTCAACTGGTGGGGCTGCAACAGCTGGAGTTAAAATATAAGGCTCCTGATGATTGCTGGGGCGAAGCCCCAGATGTGTCTGATACAATCACAACCCAGAGACTAAGGACACAGTGGTCTTTTGGCAGAGTTGAGGGCGGCACAGAGGTTTGGGAAAGATACCAACAGGCCCCACGGACAGGATTGCTGTGAAAGAGCAGCCACTCTGGCCTCCAGGAGAATTTTTTTTTCAGCAATCCAGAGGCAGAGGGGTTATAAGGCCTAGTCTTCAAAATACTCAGGGAGAGAAATTGCCCTGACTTCCCCACTGTGAGCACTGCACATGCTCAGAGCCTCCCAGCAGGAAGCCCAAGGAACTTGCTGGAACTTACTCTGTAAGTCTCTTGGCCTTTGCTGCTGCTGTTTGTCTGCATCCCTGGAAGTTATAAGAACTCTAGGAGGACTGTAAAATGACCTCTCAGCCACTTCTTTAATCTTTTTTTTTTCTTCTTCTTTTACTACTGGGGATTGAACGTAGGGATGCTTAACCACTGAGCAACACCCCCAGTTCTTTTAAATTTTTTATTTGAGACAGGGTCTGGCTCAGTTGCTTAGGGCCTCACGAAGTTGCAGACCCTGGCCTGAAACTTGTCATCCTCCTGCCTCAGCCTTCAGAGTTGCTGGGATTACGGGTGTGAGCCGCTGCGTGAGATTAGAGTGAATCCTTGATATAACGAACAGGTACGGCCATCATAGGCTTTTACCTGGAGATGACACTTGGACGTCACAATGAAGGGCCCTAAAGTTCACCTAACGCAATCCCTTCATTGCACACTGGGAGATACTGGCGGAGGGGACTTATTGGTGAACACACAGCTGGCTGGGGAGACCGCCAGGACCACGGGACCATGGCCATGATTTCAAAGCAACTTTTCAATTGTATCATAAAATCACTGCCCCAACACGCCCTTCCACCACCACTGCCACCTTCATTATGGGAATCAGACAGGAGTTCACCTCTCCTCCTTGGCACGAAATGTTAGCAACTGAATGTGATGCACACTGTCACAATAAACGTGCAAGGCCTTCAACCCGGGCTCCCCTAACACATGCAAATTTTCATTCAAGACCCTTTGTGCTGGCCTACACACTCCCCTCCCCACAATCTGGGGCTACTGCTGTTTTGCATATCATTTGCATTGATTTGCATAATGGACTCTGGAGGCTCTAATTCCAAATATCTAAGAGAGACTAAAACGAAAATCTAGCTTGACATGCTTAAAATGTGGAACCAATTTTTAAAACGTGTCAGAATAAGGGTAGGTGTTGGGGATGGAAGCCCACAGATTGACAGATGCCCAGATGTCACAGGAAGACTTCCTTCTTCCTAGAATTCCACTGCATATGTGATCTCAGGAGCCAAGGGAAGGAAAGGGACTCCTTCTTCGTGTGTTTATTTGGTTGGCTGCCTGTACTCCATAGTGGGCATGACATTTGCATCTGGCAAAGGCAATTGGTAAAGAAAAAAATGTCTAGTATTGTTTAATACACTGAGCAATTCCTAAGTGCCACATACTACTCAAAGGTGACGTGCATGGACATACTTAATCCTCTAGCAACCTGATGAGGCAGGTACTATTACTAGCTCCCTGTTACAATTGAGAGAAAGAAGCCAGAGGGGTAGAGGAACCCATTCATGGTCACACAGCTGGGGAATGGCAAGCTGGGATTCGAACCTGGGAAGTGTAGCCCCGGAGTCTACACTATCAACCACTTCACTTACCAAGCCTGCTCTGCTGTCCCACCCCTCTGCCCCCTCAGGATGCTCTGCACAGTCAAAAGTAATAATCTACAATCTTTGGTAATTATTTCCCCCTGCTGGTTTCTTCTCTCTTACCTATTTCCTTCTATCTTGATTCCAGGGCTTTGTTTGACACATTTGATATTCTTTTAAATAATTTCATTAATTAGCTTTATTGTGCATGTACGGGGGGTGGGGATGCTTGTATCAGGACAATAAAAGCATTAGAAACCCCTGATTTTTAATTCTCTCCTCTTTCCCAATCCTGACATCTCATGCATGCCTTTGTTTGGGAGAAGAAAAATTACATACATAAATTAAATTTTTCTTAAAATTGCTTTTACACACAGACACACACCATATTTGATCCATGGATAATTCATAAAAATAGAAAATCTATCTCATTTCCTTGCAATTTTAAATATCTTCTTGTGAATAGATCCTCCTTTCACATTATACTAAGTTTCTACTGCAAGATCTTTTCGGCGATTTTTTTTTTCCTTTGGGTACCAGGGATTGAACTCAGGGGCTCTCTACCACTGAGTCACACCCCCATCACTATTTTGTATTTTATTTAGAAAAAAGGTCTCACTGAGTTGCTTTAGTGCCTCACTGTTGCTGAGGCTGGCTTTGA